GAGAGAGAGAGAGAGAGAGAGAGAGAGAGAGAGAGAGAGAGAGAGAGAAGAGAGAGAGAGAGAGGGAGAGAGAGGTAAGCGTCTTGCATATTAAACGACACGTTAAACGCGATAGGTACAAATAGACGCGTAGTCATGACTTTTCTGTTTACGTTTACACACGTTACAACGCTGTACGTCGTATAATAAGGCGCGATACGCCGGCGCGTGCACGAGGATCGCTGCCACGAAGCTTCCCTTCGCGACTTCTCCGCGCGGGACTCCGTAAATCTGAGGGCGCGGGGGGCTTCGCCGTTGAAAGCCGCATCGTGATATGTCTCTCGTTAACTGATTTCAAGCGTAGGAAGCTGTTCGCTAAATCGCAACGGGATATTTGTCATGCGCGCGGACGTACACGCACGAAAATATCGCGGTAAACCGTGCGGTTGTAACATTGCTGTCTTGAATGCATGTCGTTCTCTCTGTGACAGGGTAATAAATTAAGTGAACCGTTGAATGAAATGTTTGCGGTCTTTCGTCCGCATGATATAAACTTTTATGTATTTCTTTCTACAAGACTGTAAAAAATATATGGCAATAACGCCATTGATTTGTATATATGAATTTATATTAGGGAAGTTTACATGTATTAGCAAACAATCGTGATCTCTTATCGCTTTTTAATCAAGAATGACGCAAAATAAATGTAAATTAAAAACTGAAATGTTCTGAGCAACTACTGCGCTGCTACATCGAATATTTCCTCTGTACTTCCATCAACATTAGCCTTTTATACGCCATTTATTTCGGTGCCCTAATCTCCATTTTTATTACTTTATGCATTTCTCTTGTGGAACACCTTTAAAACACTCTGTGGTTCTTCAGAGTGTAACAAAATGTATCCTTTCCTCTTTATATCACCTTACTTTGAGAAAAAACGACTCATGAAGCAAACCACATTATTTTTAACTGCGTTCTTTGTTAGGCGTCGTTCTAACGGCACGACGGTACATTTGCTTAAAGACAATATTCGCGCGTATACATAAACCCAAATGGCGCGCATGCACTCGGAACTAACAGGGGCTTGGAGAATCCTTAAAGTAAATGCTCGCGGGGTCGAGAACTTACAAGCTTGTTGTTAGTAACTTCAAGTCGGTTGCCAGTTGTTGTTCCTCGCGGTTTTGCGACCGCCGCCGCGCCTACCGCGATAGCAGTGATGCGCGCATTGCGGCGAGGAGAGGGGAACTTACGGGCCGCGTTAAGAGAATTCGACGTTAATGATCGCGGAGAGTAACCATTTGCTGTGTTTATTGCATAATTGTTGCCGTTGCAATCATTGTAACTGGCAGTGCGAACGCGGTTGGCAGACGCGCGCGCGCGCGCGTGGGAAATGCAGGGAAATACATATGCAGTCGTGGTTGGATGCATAAAGTAGCGTTACGGCTTCACGCCGGTCATTGCACAACGTTTGCGCCCGGCGCACGAATTATGGGAGACATTTGCGCGGTAGTTATCGTTTTCGGGTTATTAAACCATTTATCTGGCGCGTAGCTCCTTTAAATTCTCAGCCAACGATAATGCTGCGCGCGACGACGGTCTTGTCCTTTCGTTTCTCATCGTCATCGCGCGACCGGAGATTACTTTTGTTTATGTTGGCGTCGAGCGCGTCTCACTGCACATTTCGCTTCCTTCAATACGATTCTCGAAATGTTTGATGTAAAATTCGAAGTAAACGAGACGAACGATATACGAAGATATACAAACAACGCATATAAACACAGCTTGTATGTATCCGATTCTGAATAGAATTGTGCATCCACCGTCGACGATGACAGCAAATATGTATACGTGCATATGTATATAACTGAGTATTATTAAACAATCCAAAGTAATTTTGTGGAACGAACATGAACGTTACATTTAGATTATTACATAGACCTCTTTAAACAAATTATAATTTTTTCGCCCTGTTTTATAATTTGAATATTTAAACAAGTAATTGTGTTTTAACGCTTCAGCGCTACGGTTGCGCAGTGTAACGACGGTTACACCACTTGCAGTATTAACGCCACCATTACAACAAAGTTTGCGATATTTACCCAGCATTTACATTCAGCACCACGTTCACATACCACAAATATCCATTAACACCCTGTGCTCGCAGAAGCGCTGCACTCGAGACGTCGAAAATTGGCGCACTCCCTTTCTATGTCGAACCATTAAAGTATTTGCTGTCACTGCAAGCGAAGTGACATTTGGAAAACAGCATTTCCAGGACTTTTATGACTGCCTCTCTCTTCTCCCGCCTTCCTCCGAATATATATTCCCAAATAAAGCTTTCACCACTTTCCGGGCTCCGCTGACTGCCGCCGAGGGGTAATAAAAGCAATGCGGTTCCGCGATGCGCGCCACGTGATGCCGCGATCGCGCCGCGGCGGTTGTCGCATTTTTTCCGCCGATAAATCCATCATCGACGCAACGGGCCTGCAAAGTTGCGGACGAGCGATATATTAAGACAGGCACGCGGCGCGAGAGCGGGCGGTGAGGTCGAAACTTTCTGCGCGTTAATCTCGCATGCGTTGCGCCGGTCGGCGTTTCTTGCCCGCTTCAGCCAGCACCGCGCGCCCCGACTCGCTCGAATATTTGACGTTAATGATTATAAAGTAACCGGCGTCTTCCGCGCTCATCGGCTAATTGCTCTGTTTTAAATGCCTCACGGCGTATGCCAGCTATGTCCGTCGCACGGAGCGGCGCGACAGAGCGCCAAGACCGCGCAAGATTTACGAGTCGAATCGAAGCGACGTGCTGAGACAATTTTTTGTCTCACCGTCGTAACATCTTCGGGCGTCTCATTTTTATTACAGCCTTCGGTATCGTCGGTATTTTTATAGTCATCATAAAAGTCTCTCACACACACAGACTATTTTTTAGTCACTTTCACAGTAACTTTGATAGAAAAACAAATCAAGAATATCGCAATTTCTTTTCTCAATAAAATCTTTTATTTCTCAAATCATTCTGATAGAAGATTGTTGGGGTGAGTTCAAATAACTCAAGATAAAAGTAAGAAGAAAATATGTTACTAACATTTTTATTATTTTTATAAACTTATTGTTAGATCATTATTATATAATTTATTCAAAAGTGATCAAGTACAATGTTTTATTAGAAAACTAAGATAATTTTGATTTTTAAACAAAAAACTAATTTGATATCGTCAAAGTACCGGATGTTAAGGGATTTATCGATGATCATTGCGGTGATTTTGTTTACTTTTTGTGCTTGCATTGCGATAGCGTTAGAAAACAATTAGCGATCAATTTCTTTCCCATGTGATATATTATTGCAGCATATATTTCTCTTGCTACAAACGCTTTTATTTAGACATTAAGACGGCTGCAACCGATGTATTGACTCAACAAATATTTGCCGAGTCGACACGAGTAGGCATCGCGTGGATGCGGTAACGCGTGCTACTGTGACAATGGTACACGATGTGGTGAGATTCATCAGACGATTGTAGTGCGTTTGGCGCGTTGAATGTTCGACACGCTTTCGGAATACAAATTTAGATCAAGGTTCATTTTCGTATAAAAGTATTTCGTGCAATCGATGCGTGAGAATTGTTAATCTGATCGCAGCGCTCAAATCGCGATTTAAATTCGCGTCAGCGCACATTCAGCGACGCATATGTATTAAATTAAATATCACGTTGTGAAATGCGATATAGTTGGTTGATATTAAGATAACCATAACAGAAAAGAAGTGTCTCGTTATGTTATGGCGTCTCGTTATGTTATGGCGTCTCGTTATCATGTCGCGCTCTGTGTACAGCGCTGGAATTAAAGAGACGCTAAAAGGGTCCGAATATTTATAAAGCGTGTCGGTTTCTGTGTATGTCTCTATTTCTACTGGAGTTGTGCTTTGTGTTCACGTTTCTCTCTTTTATTTCAGGGAAAGCCTGTGATCTTCAGCGTCGCGTTAAGAATGCGCCGAGCTTTTTACAAGCAAATTGTTTGAAGATGCAGCCTGGACGTTTCGTGCAAATATTTATTATTCCTTGCGATGCCACCATTGCGAATTATACGTCGTTCTGAAAGGATCGCATACAGAATGCACGTCGACCAGTTATCAACGCTATATTTAACGCACCAAGGTAATATCGTTTTAAATTCCATTTAAGTAGTACGTTCACGGACAATAAAGATCGATTAAGATCGCGACTGCATTATCGTAACACGTGATCATCCATTGCTTCTCGTTAATGCTACCTTACGTTATGATCAGCGGGCATTGCGGATGCATCTTGCTCCAATTGGCCGCCTCTAATAGGGCCTAATTGTTGTTCATTGTTGCACTGCTAGTGTACCTCGTAATATCTACACACGAGTGCATCCATATATTGAGATACAATTACGTACAATTAGATGAGAACATGATTATATATGTGTAGACATAATTACATACATTTTCACATGCCCTGTCGTGCATCACATATCAACAAGTTTGCGATAAACATGCATAGTGTTTAATTTTAATGTTATAATATGCATATAACGGTTGTTAAACACACGCTGCGCGTCTAGTTTGTTGTATCGAGAGAAAAAAAACGCGTGTCTATATTATCTGAACGCATATCTACGTGTTTGCAGTTAAATAGTTTAAGTATTTACGCAGGTGAAACTCCACTCTCTTCAGTTACTTGCGTCGTAATGAACCGCGCGCTATTATACACTTAAAGTCACGATAACTCTTCCGATGTTTAATTTGCCGTCCGGATGAAATAAGCGTGCTTATTTATCTTTGCGAACGCTTTCATCCGGTTTCGCGTTCACTTTCCCCCCCGCGACGACATATTTCTGCAGATATATCCGCACCTTTTAAGTAGTCGTGCAATTATAGCCGACAACCGGTCGGTATAATGCGCTCAGCCGTTAAGCAAATTCGCGGCAAAATGCATCTTGCGTCGATCGACTAATGTGATGTTAAATTTAATATTTATTTAGCTCGTTAAGTATATGTATAATTAAGTCCCGTACAAGTATCGTTATACGCACATATTCACGATGAAATACGAGGGCGATGATATCATTTAATGATACAAACTGTATTATACGCGCGTTTGAGATTGTCGATTTGTCGATGTCAGAATATGTTCCAACGAGTTCCTTGCGAATCTGCACCCTGCAAAAATAAATGAGTGGCATTATTTGCGAGTATTGTGCCCGACTTGTAATTTTAACGACGGAAGATATTCGAAGGAAATTTTTCAGGTCGCTCCATTAATCTCTTTTCGCACGGGCTATTTAGTTTAGGGGATTGTCGTTGTTCGACCCTTCGTTGCTAATATATCTTCCAGTGAGGCACAAATGAAAGAGCCGGACGAACCGAACGTGACAGACTGGTCTAGATCTCAGCATTAGCAATGCGAAGATGCCTACATGTCCGTCTTCCGCGAGAGAGAGAGAGAGAGAGAGAGAGAGAGAGAGAGAGAGAGAGAGAGAGAGAGAGAGAGAGAGACGTACGTCGTACGTACGTACGTACGTCGTCGTCGTCGTCGTCGTCGTCTCTCTCTCTC